CTGGATTCAATCTGTATGGCTCTCGCTGTGCAAACCACAGCGACTCTGGAGCCCAAGAGAAAGCCAGCACAAAGGGCTAGTAACCATTAATGAGGAACAGTGAGCTAATGGCAATAAAGTCACTTCAAAGCTTTCCATGGGTTTTCAGTTTAGGCAAAGTAGGTTTACATCTAAACACAGACAGAATGCTTACAGAGAGAGCGTGCAGCTGCCTGGTCCCTTGGTGAGCTGAAAGCAGGGCTGTGCTGAACCCAGCCGTGAGCTGCACCTCCTCCATCTGCTGCTCTGCTTCCATCAGTGTGGTGGAATCAGCACTGCTCCACACGCAAAAGGAGTCAACACACAGCAGCTTGGTAAATAAAGGAATTGCTACCAACCTTGCCAGCAGCACAAAATAGTTTCAAACTCGGATGAAAGAAATCCACTTGGAGGATCTCGGAGTCAGATCATGTAACAGGATGCAAAAAACCGTAAGAACAGCTAAAAAGGGGAAAGCTACCCAGGGCTTACAGGCGCTTGGTGGTAGAGACGATGGCGCAGAGCCCCAAAATGAGACATCTCTATTCTACCTACGACTCTGCTTCTGTGATCCCCAAAGGGGAGAGAACCCAGGCTGTTCAGTGACATAAAACACCAAGAAGAGTAAATGGAGTACTCTGAAAGTTAAAAGGTGAGGTGCCAGCTTGTTTTTAACTCCACTTCAGACACAATTCCAATCCAAAATTCAATAACAAGAGGATTACCCACAATAAAGACATATTTTAGAGGTCAATCCTCTCCCAGACCTCCTTCCACTCCCATTAAATTCCTCATCCAGAGCCCTAACATAAATTGAAAATGGATCAACATCTATTCAAAGACAGAAGCGGAAGTTCAAGGCTTCATGGCTTACGCTGCTGAAGGAACTCCAAGTCTTAATCAATAACAATATTTACAGAAGCTGAATGATCAACATGAGGTTGGATTTTTTTCTTTTTTTTTTTTTGACACAGCTGTTAAAAATCAAAACCACCAAGAAATTCAACTGAGCCCAAAAAATGAAGAGGTAAGAACAGCTCTCTAGATGTACGTACACTTACTAAACTAGTCTGGAGTTGCCAAAAATCATCCTGCTTGCAGAAACACCCAGAGCAGCAGCATCCTTCCCCAGGGAGGTCTATTTAATCACTTCAGAAACGATTTCTTCCAGACAACAAAGAGCGATTAGATTACTTAATTAAAGCACTGATTATCTCCAACCCAAAACAACAGAATGCAGGATCTAAAATAGATTTACCCAGCCACCCCGGTCCTCATTATGCTTTGATTTCAATCAATTGCGCACACACACGTCAAGCAAAGGGCAATAAATTACAACCATGTGTTTGAAGAAATTATCTTCACGATATTGGAAGTGGAAAGCCAAAGCCCTAACTGAATGGTATGAGATATTAGGCTTCCATCTGGGAATAATAACCTGCTGAACAAAAACATACCGGGGCATTAGCTTCAGGCAGTGTCTGAGTTAAACCTGGCAGTAGGAGATCAAAATTAAAGTTGGTGGGGTTTTTTGGGGGGAAACTGACATACATTTTGGTCAAACTGATAACTGAGAAATACACTTGCTGTGAGAGCAAAAAATGAGTACGATTCCTCTTCAACCCAAGGAGATTTCCAGAAATAAAAGGTGAGCAGCCAAGTGATGTTTAGAGGAAATAACATAGCACTGGTTAGGAAGCACTGAAGCTTCCACACCCCAGGAAAGCTTTTCTCAAGCTTTCACCATTTGAAATTACTTTGTGGGACTCTACAAGACTCCTCCAAAGTTGTTTTCACACTGCAGTCACCCCACGTGCTGCTCAATAAGCTTTTAGGGGCAAAACTCAAATGCAGGTCACCAGCAAACAAACGTGCAGGGATTATTTCACACCGATCGTTAACAAATGCACCACAGGCTGCTCTTCTCAAACCACCCACACCAGCAGGTGTCAACCCTTGGGAAATGGCAGATCCATGCTGATGACTCATGAGATGTAGGTGGATACTTAACCATACCTGATTACAACAGAAATCTAGAAAGGAATGGTATGTGGGCCAAATGCAAGCGGCACGAGGAAAAGCTGAAACGAGCTGAGGTTTTGGAAGAGGCTCAACATGAACTCTGTGAGATATTATCACTTACTGTGCATGAAGGTAAAAAGGGAGATAACCCAGAGGAAGCTTGGACTGCGTGCTGAGAGCTGAGTGGGAAAAGCACATATTCTCTACAGTACTTATTTTTCTTTGGTAAGTAAACATCCTCCTCTTCCGCTCCCCCACTGGAATGGCTTCTCTAAGATGCATTTGAAAGCTGAGCACCATGCAGAGCAACATCTCAGAAACAAGTGCTTCCAATGTACTAATTTAGGCCAGGGTAGGAAATGCTTTATCCCTTTATTATGGTCAGTATTTTGTCTCAGGTGAGGTGAAGGTCATTCATCCTGACCTGCTCACACCCACCTGCAGGCTAACATCTAATGTCAGACAACCATGCATGCTGCAGATTGTTGGCTGGGTTTGCTTTTGTTGTTGCTTTTAAACTTCGCTTCCTTGTGCAAAGGCTCTTCTGGTGCAACTAACACAAATTGCTTTGCCAGCCTGAACTCACCTCTGCACACAATCTTCCTTTTTCAGCCCTACAATCAACAACAAGCCCATACAGTGCAATGCCTTTCCGCGAGCGCCTGGAGAAGTGCAAGCACAAGAATCAGTGGGTCAGCCCAGCAGGGCTAAGAAACAAAGCCTCAAAGTGCTTTGAAACCACCTCCTAGCAGAAACATTCATTATAGGAAGTTCAAGCACACTGGAGCCTGGTGTTCTCTGTGAATGAATGCCTAGAACCAAACCAGAAGGCCAGTGACACCTTGAATCGACAGCACTCAGACCTTTGCAGTGGAGATATACCATTAGTTTCCAGCTCCAGCAGACCATGGAAATGACATCACTGCAATTGCCATCTTCTTCCCACTACAAGCTTCCCTATGCTTTGGGCTCCCACATGATTTCAGCAGCTGTTATGCCAGTAATTGTTACAGCCATTCCCAACCTGACCTGCTGGCAGCAGAAGTGTGAAAAGCTGGCACTTGTTACCACCACCTCATTTTTTCCCCTCCAATCTCCAAGTAAAAATTAAGCTTTTGCTGTCAAAATACCAAATCCAATTGTTAAGGAAACTGCAGAGTCCAGCTACAAGAACAAAAGCACGTTTCTATCCAGACCTCTGTTGTAGGTAAAGCACAAATCACTTCCAATTTCAAGCATGAGGAACCCTTCAAGCGGTTGGGTTAAGTTTCCCTAACTTTGCAAATTCTTTCCAAAAATACTACAGTTTTTACACCACTCAGCAAAACATAAGCCACCCTTTTCCTCTTTTTCTGACACATTTTTGAGATCCTAACGTGCATCAAAGTGTGTTCTGCTGACTGATGCTCTTATCTAGTCTGTACTGCAAGCCATAATGCCTCAGTCATTTCTGGCTGATGCCACAAGAATGAAGTCTTTGTGAGCAATCCCTCCTGTATCCCTCTCACAATGTATTGCCTGCCAAACTTGGACTGGCTAACTGAAAGATGAAATTTGATAAAATCTTTCTTTTTACTTCCATACAATATATTAATGCTACTATTGTACCCCATGCCGAGAGGGATCAGCAGATTCACCGAGTCCGAGGGCAGGCTGTACTGAGCTTTCCTTTCTGCAAACTTCTTTAGAGGAGTTATTGTATCCAGCTGTGACTTCATGGTCAGTGATCACAGAGGGATTCAAACGATCTCTGCTCCAGAAAGCTACTCATTTTCACCTTACTGAACAAAAACCCCTACTCGTCTGGGTCCGTTCTGCACCTAAAGGGAAACTGCAAACCTCTCTTTGCTGCATATGCAGAAATGCAATCTTTCAGTGGATTCAGACACCTATAACAACTGTTACTAGAGATCAGATACCTTCACATATTGCAAGAAAAGTAGAATTTGGTATCTATAAGAGAAGACTCTATGTCTGGACAGGCAACACACCAAATCACATCTTAGAATGAGTAGAAAATCAACAAGAATATATATTTTTTTTAAGCTGCCTTTGTTAGCACTAAAATAGTGTAAATTTCAAATGACATGTGATTAACTACATCTAAGTTATCTCCACCTGGATGCAACATGAAGCAATGAATGCTGTTCACCTATTCCATGGTCACTAGGGATCTCCAATGTGAGAGCATCCCAACTTTGGTAAAGGAGTACGTTTCTTTTGCTTTCCACACACCTTTGCTTTTTAGATTTAACATGACTGTTTCCATCCTATTGCTGCTTAGGAGACCACAGGCTGTACAGAAGACAGTTGTAGATGCAATGCAAGACAAGTGCATTCCCTCCTTTTAGCAAGACTGTTTAACTGACAAGTCACCTGGAAAAACTGCAACTGCAGCTTTGAAAGGATACAGCCTAATTACACTGTTCTCACACATTTCCACTAGTTCCTTCCCTTCACATCTCTTTCACAAGACAAGGCCTGAAACACAATCATCTTTGCAGAAGTACACGACTCCCCACACCACTGCCACATTTCACAATCAACGCCTGCAATCTGACAAGATGTGCAAGCTTCTGCTGTAGAGGTAGATATCTGGAGAGAGTGCTGTCTTGAGGGAACAGAAAAAGCAGATGCTTTAAGACTGAACTTAGTTGAGATCAAAGAGAACAAAGTCATTTCAGGACAAAGATGCCATTAATCTATTCAGGAGATGAGAGAGCCAAGAAAGCACTTCAGCTTCTGCCGTTAGCATCAGCTGGCAAATTGGATCGTGCTTTCCCAACACGAAATCACAGGTGATGTGTTCCCAGCAGATCAGCTGCTGCCTACCCTTCTGCCTCCAGTATACACACGTACGCCACCCTCAGTGGCACTGCATTTCAGGCCAATATATGTACTGCATGCCTCCTGAAGGAAACAAAGGAAGTAGAGGGCTGTGTATGGTAGAACTGACATACAAGTCTCTATACTGGTCAAAGGCATTGTTGGCTTCCACCTCCAGCTTGCGCAGGCGAGCAGATGGCATGGCACCGTCTTCCAGGGGAGGATCATACTTGTTACTCCACGGTGATCTGCCAAGGAGACAAGGAAAGCAGAGAGTGAGACAACAGGGGAACTCAGAGAGGTCAGAGTGGTGGGTCTGACCTGTCCAACAATGGCGAGCATCCTTTGAGTTCATGCTATATAAATATATAAAACTACACCTGGATTTGCATCTGCTCCTTCTCAAGTATTCAAAGGTTCAACCTCAGCTGTTGCACATCAGGTATTTAAAATTATTTCCATGCAAATACAAATACATCATGCAGCTTGTTTGGCATCTGACAATATTCGAGCTAAACTTTGCCATCTACAATTAAGGTCCAAATTCTCCTCTACTATTTTGCTTTCAAATACACTTGTCTTTTAGCACAATGGTAGGAAAATGTTTGAACAATGCACAGGGTTTAACAGGGTCTGTAAAGCTACAGCTTTTATTGTACAATTTCTGCAGGTGTGGAAGAGATTTTGTGCTCCTAATGAAAGATTTGGTATTAAAAGATTAATGCTTGAGACTTTTATAACTCCCTTCCTGCAAAGTTGCATTCTCCTCTTCATTTCCCCTGGGGATAACCAACCTACATATATCACTGCTAGTTTAAGAAAAGGTACCTCCACCTTTTGCCTACTCAGTTTTCAGAGTACTCCAGTGGACTAACACTAGGTCTTAATGCAGTCCATACGTACGAGCTTTTTCCTCAGTACCCATTTGTTACTCATTTCTCAGACAAGTAACTCGTTTGGACATGTTTAATGCAAAGCACAAAGAACAGGCTCTGCTTCATGCTGCCCTCGTGCTTTCACAGCACTTCACCCCTCTCCTCCCGACCACATCTGAACAAATAGGTGAGAGATCAGGAAAAACTAAATCACCATGTCACATCCACCCAGGGCAATGTTTTTCAGCTGGTGGTTCTCATTTTAAAATAGTTGCTTAAAACTCACTTGCTCTGAAGAAGACAGCTAACATTTATTTACCTCACAGCCCACTGAAATCCAGAAGAGATTTGCAAAAAAAAAAAAAAAAAAAAGAAAAAAATCCCCCAAAAGGTAAGATTCCCAAATGGGACACCTGCACCCATTGGGCAGCATGCTAAAAGCCAGCCTACACCAAAGAGACCCAGGTGGATGAGCAAAGAATCAGTGGTAAAGGCACAGTGGAAATACATGAAGTGCAAATTGCAAATGGCACCTGAAAATGAGATTTCTCTGCATGAAGTAGAAGAACTTGAAGAAAATGTAACTGCAAATATTTAAAGGAGATTCTCAGAGAAACTGATGCAAGACTGAGATAAATGAGCCCTGTGATACCAGATGCTTGTAAAAAGCTTCAGTCTCCCACTTCTGACACTGACTGGTTTGTGATCAGATCAGCAGCCCCTTCATGCTTTGTTTCCTTAAGTCAGACAGATGCTTATTTCCAAATATAAAAGAGAAAGAGCTACTGAGTCTGTAGTGCAGGTATTGCTAGACTCAGGACTGCACTTACAGCCCAAAGATAACTAAATTATCTAAGTTGACTGCAAATGTCAAGACAAGCTGAGAGGTGTACCAGGTGGAAGCTTCTGCATCCAAAATGGAGAGAAACAAGACAGTGGCACGATCTAGTTGGTGGCAACCCCATCCACAGCAGGTGAGATGGAACCAGATGATACCGAATATCCCTTCCAACCTAAGCATTCTCTGATTCCTTGCTCAGATCTCTTTTGCAGGCTGCTGGAATGGTGTTGAAGGGAAGGCCAGCAACTGAGTCTTTCCAGCAAGCGGACCGCAGCATTTTCAACCCATTATAGTTGGAGCCAGAAGCAGCTTCACCTAAAAAAATTCATAACACAACCCCATAATTTTTTTTTTCTTTGTGGAAGAGTATTCACAATGCATTTAAAAGCTTTAATGGAGGCTATTTGAAGAAAGACAGATGGACAAGGGCACTTAAATTTCAAAAGTCAGACCTCTAATTTCCCTAAAAGAGAATGTTTTTTGTTTCAGTTAACAGGCTTCAGTGTTGTTGGCACCAAATTCCCCATAAGGATTCCATTTAATGGAGTGATCAAACATACTTTGAATGGGAATGCATGGACAAAGTCAGAGACCTTGTAGTCCTATATATTGAAGAAAAAAAAAGAAAAAAGAGGGTCTGTTTTTTCTGCTTTCACAATGTGGATTCCACTGCCTTTTGATATGCTCCCAAACCTTCCTCTTATTACAGGAGCACTCATAGAATTGCCTGCAAGCATACATGCAGAAGAGGCTGATCACATAAGCAGCAGTGTGGTAATATGATGAAATGTGAAAGTACTGACATATGAAGATCCAAGAGAGACTCCAGGATGTACTTCATGGTCTGATCCACACCAACACAAACAAAATCACATTCCTTAATACAAGGAAGGAGTCAACGGCGAGTGGCTCAGCAATTAGGATATTAATTTCCTTGAAGGATGCCCCCATGAAACATGTGAGGTTATCAGTCATCAGAATGGACAAACATCCCTGTTTTTTCTCAAAGCTGCCACCCAGTCCAACTGTAAAGCTGCTCAAAAAAGGCCTACAAAGCTTGATTCCCAGTGAGGAAGCTCCAGGCCTCCTGCAGAATTCACACAAGGCTCAGCTGTCCACAGAACATCTTCAAATCTTTGGATTTGTATTTAAAGAAATGCAATTAGTAAAGTCTCCAAGAGAAGAAAACTGAAGTTTAGTTCAAAGCATGCAGTAACTGGGGACGCAGCATTCTGCAGGTGACTGCAGCACTTCTTGTGACTTCTTACCCAGTGCGTGGGGTTCTGAAAACCTGTGTGGAAATATCAAAAGCTTTTGAAAGTACAAAACACTCGTCCTCTATTCGGGTCTAATTGATTACATTAGTGCAAGAGCCACTTCCCAGTAACAACTTCAGAATTTATGAGGTATGAATAGCATTATCTGAACACAGGCACCGACTGGATCAACACATGCACATGTTCACATTGCCTGGTTTTCAAAGGCTTTTGCTTTCTGTTGAAGGAATTTACTTTGTGAAACAGAGCTGAGGCCAATCAGTTCCAGAAGGGAGAATCGCTTTGATCCAGAACACTTGAACCAAAAGCCTCAGAGAAAGAACAGCATTCTCTAATGCCAACAATTTATACATTGTGGCTACTCACTACAAAGAAATAAAATACCTTTACTGAAACCTCATGATGTAATAAGTCCTCCTGCTTCCCTGTTAGTCTTTAAGTATCTGAATAGGGATATAGTAGGGAAGAGACTGAGTAAATTTCAGAGGCAAGCATGAAACTAACCTTAAAGAAAGGGCTTCCAAATGCAGTAATCAAACATGGAGTGCTGGGGAATGGGGAGGGGCAACTGTTATTAGTTATTGCAGCATGCTGCAACACAGTTTAACAAGTGCCTTTTCCATTTTTCTGAGCATCTGGTGATAGATACTCACGTCAACAGTCTAACAAAGATCCCAAGAGACTGCTAGAAACACATCACAGCCTCAGGGAGAAAGCATCTCATGAAGGACCCACAAGAAATACATTATCTGTGGTATGCTCTGTCCTCTTGCACGTGCCATAAAGGATGAGCTGTGCACACACACCTTGTGGTGGCCTGGAGAAGATCTCAATGTTAGGATCATACCTTTCAGAACATGAGCAGAAACTTCACCTTAGAGACTTGCTTACCTCTGGGCCCACTGCAATCCAGGATATACTTAAAAAAAGCTCTCTGTCATTTACAGTTGGCCACAACCCAGATGCACTGTCAAACTCCACATCCATTAGCAGTCTGCTCCTCACACTAACAGGGCAAGATGAATCTCAGTGTGTTCCCTGTACCAATCATCTACAGACAGATGTGCTTTCAGTTTAGTTAACTACCTTTCCTGTGACCGAAACCAACTAAGTTATAATCCTTCATAAACTTACCTGTGTCTGCAGTGATGGTCTGAGCCAAAGAAAAAGAAAAGTCAAAATATTTTGTGGAATTCCAACTTGGAACAGAATTCTTGAAACTTTCTGGCCAAATGAACACAAATCACCACCGCGAAGCAAAGGAAAGCTGAACTCTTACTGCAAAGCAGTTCCAATTGTTAGCACTACAAACATAAGCTATTACACCAAACCAGAAAGGGAGCACAGAATCTAAGCCTCTAATCGGAACCAGAAGAGGAGGTGGAACAGCTGAGCTGCTAACTCAGGACAGAAGATGGATGGTGTTCGTTACTTCCTGGTGTAGCAGCCTTTGTTAGGAGAAAAGAGCAAAAGCCAGGTGATGCAATACTCAAAAGGCTTCTGGATGAGCTTTGTAATTCTTTATCAAAGTATTTGGAACTATGGCACCGATGCTACGGACATTAACAAAAGGCAGGCAATGGAGGAAGGAAAACAAATAGCTTTAAGCATTGGTTGCTGAAATATAATCATCCTAATGGCAAGGTATGGAAGAAAAGCATAAAAGGAGAGACTGCGTTCAAAGTGGCTGCCAATATCCTGAATACTCATTGTATTATTACAGCTCTTTCCACTTTGAAATTTATTTAATTATCTAAAGCTCATATTGTTCAAATATTTTCATTGTCTTCGCCTACAGTTCTCAAAATAAGTCAGCTATTTTGGTAGAAAGGGATTCTTTTCCTTCACTGAAAGCTGGGGCCGAGATTGTCATTGAGAACTAATGACACTGCACATCCAAAATGAGAACAACCCCTTGAAAACACAACTGAAAGCAGCTTTCCCAGCTGGCAAGTCCACGCTGCTTTGTACAAACCAATAATTCTTTTATTTAAACTTGCTGCCTGAATCATCATTTTTCTCTGTTGTCAGCCATTCCAAACATCTTACAACCTTGCAACAAGAGATGATTTAATTTCACACCACAGTTCTGGAGATCCAATTGGTTCCAATCCTCAAAGATAGAGCTGTGCTACAGGAAGCCTAAGAGGAACCCGTTAGTGTCAGCCTAACAGGATAACAACATCACATTTTAGGCTTGAGTGAATGACTACAGATCTTGGTACAGAAAACACACAAAGTCCTGGGGTTTCTAGGATAAAACATATCTTGTTTCTGAGATGGACAGACAGGGACCTGAGCTGCTAAGGTCATCAGATTAGAGGCTATACAACCACGTTGTCTGAAAGCAAAGCATTCTACAGTTGTCAGGATTTGAAACAGTACCAGGCTTATCACCAAGATGAGTTTAATACAGTTTAATATCATTTAAATTTCCCTTTTTTGGATCAGGATAAGAGGGAGAAGGGACTTCAATACTCTGATGCAGAAAGTAAACCAGTCAGCTCATTTCTTGGGATAGAAACTCACCTATACGAGTCTCCATCTCTGTTGTAGTCACACAATAGATAGTCTTTTCCTACCACCTTATCTCGTGCAATCTTCAATGGCTGATCAACAGAAGAGAGGAGATCTTCACAGAGGCTTGGGACCTGATTGTGGAGAAAAAATACAGGGAGAAAGTAATGAGATTAAAATTAGAAGAGCGTGGTATTCTTAAGAACAGCTTTTGCTATTAACAGCCCGCCTCCAATAATTTCAGATTTAATTAGCTAACCACTGGTGTGGTCCAGTGTGCTTAAATATACGCAGTCTGAATGTTAGCTACTTGCCAAGGACGGCCAGCAAAGCAATTGTGGAGGACTGATGAATCAAGGTAAATATTTATAATGGAGTGGAAAGCAGAGAGCTGCTAAAAGAACACGCCATCCGTATGCACTAATGTATTTTTCACAAACTCCCTCTCTGGGTACAGTTTAGAACAGTTTCCAGGCAGCTGGCCAACCATTACCATGCTGGTTAATAAAATATGTGCATGTATGCACACACACTTGTGTAAAACCAATCCATCTCCTAACACAGGCATCAGTATTCCTGCACCAAGGATCACAGCAAAGCCCCTCACCCCCCTCCTCAGGGTGCCCTCTTTTTCAAGAGAGGATCCCTTGGGTAGAAAAGAATGAGGAACACACAGCAGAGGGAGGACTTTGGTTAAAGCATCACTGCAAAACACTCAGATGCCACAGAGGGATGTGCAGCACTAAGCCTTGTTGTTCCAAACCCACTGACCCCAAACAAGCAGGGATGACTGCACCGTCCCCATCTGCAAAAGACAAATCTGAGATCCAAGATCACCAACTAAAGACCCCTCAGGAAAAAAAGAAAAAACCTGCAAATTCCCATCTAAAGTTCTATTCAATCCTTACAGAACTCCACGAATTCTCACGCCCAAGACCAAAAAAAAAATTAAATTAAATAAATCACACAGCCAAATAAAGTCAGGTTGTTATTGAGAGGTGCTCAGAGGTCGCTGGGATGATTCTGCCTGTGCTGTTACAGCTGCAGGCTTTTTGCCACGTTTACCCCCTGAAGCCCCTGTTTTCATAAAGCAATATTAAGGATTTATTATTAAAATTCCAAAAATTCCATGCAGAACACCAACAAGTGCCACTCCTGGAGATCCCAGCCGTGCTGAGGGTGCTGCTGCGCTGCTTACTGGGACAGCACAAGCTCTCTGTGACCAGAAGGAACCCTTGGCACATTAATTACATCTTAAAAACAATGAATTTCATTTCCATGTAGTAATGATGAACTAAATCCTCCCTGGATGATTCAGTAACAGAAATGTGCATAAGCACAGACACTTTTTTAGTCTGTATGAGCTGTAGCTGGTCTTAGAGGAATAGCAGAGAATGCCTTGCAGCATCTACTTACTAAACTAAAATATTGTACTATAATTCAGTACCATTTTGCAGTCATATTTCTAACCACTCACTCTCTCTTTGCTCCAGGATTTCAGGCAATATATTCTGTTCTCCTTCACTTTGTTTCAGAATGAAATGGGGAAGAAAACCCCAATCCACTTTGGAAGAATATGAGAATTTCCTTCATTCATAGAAGAATTGAGCTGTTTCAACTGATGGAGCTGCTTATGCAATTTAAGTTTTGGAAAAAAACATCCAAGGTTGGCATAGCTACCCTCAGAGAATTTCTGTATCACTTCTTGCATCAACTTCCAACAGCTGCTGCACTTCCTCTGTAAGAGATTCACCAGATTTATGCACACTGGTCTTCCTCTTCGGCGTAATGAAGCCACTTAAAAAGCAAAAGCAGGAAGTCAACACAGTAATCTGCAGCTTTAAAGACCCCAGCAACACAAAATTTGTTGATTCCTTCTGAATTTCCTTTTTAAAACAGGCAATGATAAAATATTTGGGGCTGAGCAAGCACTGCTACACAGGCACTGAGCAGCTCTTTTACACTACATACGCACCTCTCCTTAAGTCTTCCCCAAGCCAAGCACCAAACTTTCTTCCTGAAGCAATTCAGTTACTTTGTGTGCACTTAAACCCTGATGGAATTCAGTTTATATTTAGTGAGAAAGCTTCCAAATCTGAACTGAAGGCAGTTCTGCCTGAAAGCCCGGCTGACCTGCTGTCATTCAAATGTTCCAGGCAAGTACATTAGCACTGTGAACTTCTCTCATTAGCTTTTACTGTGTTAATGGGAAAGCCAAAAGGCATTGGGTGCCTGTAAGTGCATCTGTCTCCAGTAGTCATCAGAAAGGGAACTCAGGCTTGCATTCAAAACAGCACGAATAAACCCACTTCTCAGGCCAAATCCTGAAATGTAAAGCAGTGATTTCACAGAATGGCCCAGGTTGGAAGGGACCCCAAGGATCACGAATCTCCAACCCCCTGTCACATGCAGGGCCACCAACCTCCACATTTAATACCAGCCCAGGCTGCCCAGGGCCCCATCCAACCTGGCCTTGAACACCTCCAGGGATGGACGGGGCATCCACAGCCTCTCTGGGCAGCTGTTTCAGCACCTCACCACTCTCATAGGAAAGAACTTCACCCTGACATCCAACCTAAGCCTTCCCTCCTTCAACTTTAAGCCATTTTCCCTTTTCCTGCTGTTACCTACCCTTTCAAAGAGTTGATTTGATTCACCACCCCACTGTAAGTTTAGTTTCTGCAATGAAAACACTGGATGTACGGGGATGGGATTGATTCATAAGCAAAGAGCGTGCTCCCATCTTCATCCTGACACCCACTGATCCCGTTTTAAGCAGGTCACGTGCAGAATATAATCTTAGCCTTGTATCTTGAGCTAAAAGCCATCATTAAGTCTATTCAGTCCACGGCACACCCATGTTTCCACAGGTAAGAGCTCAATGACCTATTCCAGAGCTCGTATGCACAGCCATGGAGCGAGACCACCCTCAATGTAAATCAATAAAGAAAAAAGAGGGCTCTTGGGAGACCTCGACTCAGCCTGGAACTGAATAGCAGCATCATTCAGCAGCACATTCCATGCAACAGGGCACTGCTTGGGGGATGGATTGCTTTTTTTCCCAAGGAGATACATAATGAATGCGCAGTACAGAGGAAAAAGAAACAGAATGAAAGTGAGTTAAGCATACTCTCCTGCATGTTGAACAAGGTTTCTGTTGTCCTGTGTAACAATATTCCCCATCAGAGCAAGCCAGGTATGTGGACAGTGTTTTAATTAAGTCAACTGCTATCACGACAAATAATCACTCGTGCCGAAGTCAAAACCATGCTCTTCTCACAGCAGCTCACCTAAGAATCATTCCTTCTCATCTCACTTTATGGTAAAATAACATATCACCAAAACAATTGCTGCTGTTTTGTTGGTTCTTACATTTAAATTAGCCTCTTGAAAAGACTGAAGTAAACGAGCAGCAAAGGTTGAAGAAGTAAATCCCAGCTTTTCATGGCTATGCATTCTCCACCTTGGCTTTGATCATGCTCATTGGATTGCATCAAATTCTTCACCTTACATATTTAGAACAGCTAATGGATTGGCTTGCTAGCCCTGCAACCCGAGCACACTACCATTATTGTTTTTTTCCAGCAGCCTTGACTGAAATGAATCATGTTTGCAACTGAAGCAGTAATATTGTTAGTGTGAGGTTCTGGGCTTAAAAATACCTCTTTTTTTCCATGTTTATGCAGAGGTCAGTACGTTCTGACCTCCACAGGAACCTCGTGTTGCTGGAAAACTAAGTTAGAAGCAGTAAAATTAAAAGATGAAACATTTTTCCTTAAGGAATCAGAAGGAAGATGGAGTGAGCTCCAGAAGATAAGCAACGCAGGCACTCAGATCCATTTGCCGTTTGATTCAGGGTCTGTAAAACACAGCTATCTGAAAGCACACATGACAAGTTGTTTTTAATTAAAACCTGCATGCAAACAGGAAAATGCATATTTTAGATGTGTGCGAACCCACGGTTTTAATTTGCTTTGTCTTCTTTAAAGACAGCTCACACAATAAACACTGCCCGTGTCACTTGGGCAGAGCAACACTCCACAGCAAAGCAGAGCCCATGCAAGGCACCAGCACTTCTGCAGAAGAATTGCTTTGGCACAAGACCCCCCTGCAACCTGGGTTCCTCCCCTCCGGGCTAGCATCTAATAAAATATTATTATAATTTGAGTCATTCCACAGCCTCAGATTTTCCTGTTCCTGCAGAACACAGACACGGCATAACGGATGTTGTGGAAACTCTAGAAGGAAGCCTGGCTCCACTCATCTTGGGCTTAAAACCACCAGTAAAGTCACTCCCACAAATCCACACATTGCTAAACCTTAATTTGATCCATCAGATGTCCAAGGGCCACACATTCTTTAAGCTTTGTTTATTAAATGACACTTAAATGGACTTCTGTTCAAGGCCAGATACAACTGATATTGGAAACAGCTCAGCTTGACTCGAGTATTTGCACTGCAGCCCAGTGCTGTAAGAATTTGCAAAAGTGAAATAAAAATCAATTCGCTTTTCTGGCAAAAGGCAAATGCTAATTAGGTTGTAAAGCTAGGTTCGTCTAGTTAACGATGTCACGGCAGAAATTAATTACAGGCATTTTCAGCTTAGCTCGAGGAAGTGCAGCTAAACTGTCTGAAAGGTGACAACCAGGGCTGGATTCAGCATTATGCAGCTTAGTGAGAAACAAAAGCTAGCCATCTGGCAGGCACAAGGAGAAGCCCCACACTCTGACTAGTGACCTGCAGGTGAAGGCTTCTGTATCCCATTACCAGCCCTGAGTCCCATGAGCCGTCACAGCATATCAGTATCTTGGGAAGTCCTGGCTGTGCATCCAGCTGGTGGTGGAGATACCCAGTGACAGCCATGGGAAAGGCAGAGGCATACATACTCTCTCCAGTCCTTCCTCTTGATGTTTCCATAGTCTAACTTCCCCCACTACCTTTAAAAGAACTTAGATAGTTTTCTAATTAGGATTCAAGCTCATCAGGCGATTCCCCTCCCCACATTCCTTTAGGAAGAGATTTAAATAGGCAATTCAAGGGCTTGTTAACAGCAGCAATGCAATGGCAAGAGCCTGGAAGAAAAAAAAGGTACAGTTTAGGCTTAAAAAGAAAAAGACTTAGGTGAAATTGAAGCCAGAAGTGAAACAATGCGTGGTCTCATGCATAGGGAGGTCGCAAGCTCTATGCCAAGTGCTCTGTTGACAACTTAGATGTACTGCAATGTCCAGTTGCCATCATGGAACCATAGGGAATCTTTTCTAGCTGGAAAAGCTCCTGCTTACAGCTACTCACCAAATGGAAAACTGGCTCTCACCCACCATCAATTCACCCAGAGCCAGAGCCCCTTTCTTTAGCCAACTGGCTGCTGCCAGCCTGGAGCCCAGCACACTGCTCAGCAAGCTGAGGACCAGCAGCAGGGCAAAACCCAGCTCTGGTTGGTCAGTGCCCTTCTGTCTCCACTCCTTAAGTCTCAATTTTATTTTGATTTTCATTAAAAGAAGAAAAGTCTTCCACCATCACTAGCTGTTCAGCTAGCCATCTGTACTCAATTATTTTATCTTCTCAGTACTGCAGATTGCTCAGGCTTTTGGATTCCAAATACATAAAGCTCCAGTCACATTCTCATGTTCTTTATGGTCTGTGCAGTTTTCCAGAGGATAAATTCTCCAGCTTAATGTATTTTCTGTTACTGAAGGCATACAAGCAGACCTGAGGCTTGTCTGGAAGCATACTAGCTATGTGAAGCAAGCTCATGAATACCGTTCAAATATTTCAACATCTGAGGTTTATACAAGCATAAATTCATCACTGTGGGACTTCTTAGCAACACATGCTACTAAAATAATTAAGCATTCATCTTTGCTTGATGTTTCTCATCATAGGAGGTCATCCTCAAAACCGTAACTGCAAATGACCCTTGGGAGAAACCAGACAACACCTAACAAAGTTAGCAATGGATTTATAGATAGAAGAACTTGAGCTTTGTTTCTTCCATGGCAACAAGAACTTGAGGCTTTATGAGAAAAAGGCCTTCATGTTTAACACTGGATAAAAATGGGATAAGCTGAATACCAGCTTTACTGGGGAGAGAGACAAAGAAAGGCATGGCTGTGAGCAAGCCCTGTACATGGCAAGTCTGCCTGTCCACTCTACAGTCAAGTTTTACAAGGACAATTCTCACCTTCATGCCAGCCATCTGATTCTTCTGAGTCAGCTGGATTTTTTTCATTTAACTTACACATGCACCCACAGGCAAGCATCCAAATTAAACACTGCAGGAAATTCTCACTTGCAGAGGAACCTGCTTAACTTTTACCAACACAGAGGGCACATCAACTTCCATACTTGAAGCCAAAGTCACCAAGACATCCCAGCTGCAGACTCCTTACTTGTGCACGTGGCCCAGGAGCACAGCCAACCCTCCTCCACACTGTGATGGGAAGGCTGTCAGGAAGGTGGGATTCAGCCACTGCTCACCCACCTCCTCAGCAGAGGTCCTCCACAACAGCTCCACCTGAAAGCTGATGTCTTCTGTGCTGTTTCTTTTGGAAAGAGAACAGCTGAAGGTATTTGAGGACTGGCTTACTGCACAGCTGTCACCTTCAGAGTAAGGAAGCAGGAGGGCAACTCCCACAAATGGGTTCTGATCTGTCAGTATAAGCCATTTAACAGCACTACCAGCCTCCTTTCTAGTGCCAGAAAGTGTGATTTGCATGAGCAGTGCAATCCCTTCATGCCCTTTTCATGCATCCTGCTTTACACCCCACACTTGGCTCACAGGTAAAGGCTCCAAGGCTTCCCTCATACAATTTTCCAGAGACATTACACAGAAAAAAACACTTTAATTTAAACAAGTTGCCCTTAAAAAGGCACATACCTGCACTAAACACATTTGCTAGTGATTTAGAAGTCCTCTTGCACATTCTGACAGCCTCCAAGTAGTCTATTTTACAAATAACAACTAATTGAACTCCAAGCAGTGCATTCCATGCCAAGGCACATCACCAGCACCCTGCACAGCTTCTTTCAGGCAGGGCTCCTGAGTCCTGTGATTGACAAGGTCTCTAATGAACTCTAATTGAGGACTCTGCAGTCTGAAAAAGCAACAACAGATGTGGTAAAAGGGCAAACCACAGATTGTTTTGCTAATGAATGAAAAGTGTCTGGTCTGATGAGGGCCAGTGACCCAAAAATCCTATTCTTTCCCCCAACCTTTTACTTCATGTTCAAGTTTGGACCCTTTGCCTAGCCAGCCTGACGCTTGGGGGCAGTAATGGACAGCCTTGAACATATTCCATACACTTTCTAGCACCAAAATGCTCTTTTTATTACAAAGCAGAGCTTTGGGTATCGAATAATAGGAACCTGAGGGAAGAAATTTAGCACAGCTAGATTTCCCAGCAGCATGACAAGCCTAGGAAATAGATGTTACTTTCTTCCTGGATTTGTTTTGAAAGCACTTTGCATACAGACACTTTTAAGTCACCATCCATGTCTTTCAACAGGTTTAAATAAGCATCAAGACAGTAGCTATGCATCATTCTGCAGATCATCTCCTATCAAAAGATGGAAAGCTGAACTGCTAACAGACCAAGGAATAACCCATGCTTCCCACAGGAGAGTGAAAAAAAACAAACCAAGACTCAGGTCTCTGCTCCAAGTCTACTCCAGCATGGAAGTGCAATGAAGCAAGGAAACCAAACAGAAAGGAAGCAGAAGTCAAGGTGCCATCTTTTATAATTCTATCACAAATTTAATGAACCTGCTCATGCCTGCCATGCCTGACCTTTTACATCAAGGAGGTTATTGTCTGGTAACGGTAAAGCAAACAGAATAAAAATCATCAGCTGTAAAGGTTTGGATGAAACCTGCCAAGAAAGGTCAAAAAACTATTTGCTAGAGGCTGGCTCATGATGTTTTTGGAACTCCTACAAGGTGGCAGTGCATATACTGCTCTTATCTAAATACTGCAGGCTTCTGTCTTGTGGAGGTCAGGCTCAGAGTGGGCTGCAGAAGAGGTTTACGGATTATAAATACAGATTATAAATAAATCACACTGGTTTTAATACGTTATGTCATCTCCACCCCACAGAAGGGACTGCAGGAACCAGTGAGGGAATCATACAACCCCTCCTCATAAGCATGTTTCAAACTGGTCTGTTTCATGTTACACTTTCAATATGAAAAGAAGCCCCCAGAGCGTGCTGCTGATGGAAAGCATGTAGAACACTAATGAGCACCATCCAAAAGTAATTCCAACATTGAGAGGTAACTAGCAATTTTCTGAGTCATTAGAAAAACCTCATACCAATTACACAGCCAGGCTTACCATAGGCTCTCCAAACAACTCATCGTTCTGGATGGTGCTCAGAGTTGCTCAAACCTTGATATCCACTCATTCCTCCAACATTTCATCAGAAAACCTACTGTATCGTACCAGATCAAACCAGGATTTAGTTATTGTGTCCCACCTCCAGCAACAGCCACAAGAATGATGCCTTAAGCTGCCAAGAGTTTTGGTGGCACAGATGTAGACAATTACTAAATGGTTTCAAGAAAGAGAAATAATCCCTTCCTGGAGGGAATAATTTATTTCCCTGACCCACAGAGCTTTCTTACCTACACCTTGGCTTATGGAACCAAATGCAATATTTAAATAGAGTTTGATCAACTCCAGTCAGCCAGAGCTTTTTCACTGTAGGACTCCCCCCAAGTTCACCAACACCAGCTGCAACACCACTTAGGAACAGACTTCTCAGCTACGTTTTTCCCTGTTAAGCAGCCACTCTTCTGCACACAAAGATGGCAAACAGCTTGGATGCAACTGAAGCAGTTTAATTAAGAGGTATCAGTTCAAGTGGATGCTATATGCAGAACCACCAGGTTTTTAAAGTGGCTGACAAATCTTGTCTGAGAGTCATGCGTAAGATTCAGCTCCACCAAAGGAAAGGGCTGCAATTCCCACAGGAAGATAGGAGAAAAGTCTTAATTCAAAGGTCTTACAGCTCCGTTCCAAATTCAATATCCCTGTCTACAAAACTCTGGAAGCTGAGGTCAGAAAACTGTTAAGCATAAATCACATTCAGAGTGGACAGTGGAAAAACATTTTCCCAGCTTCCTCTACAGTTGGTTCTATACAGATTACATTTGCATTTAGTAATACTTCAACCTGCTCTAGAGGCAACTGCGGCACACAGTTTTCAGGGACAGTTGACACTAACAAGCCCATTAAAAACCCAAATGCATAGCATATCACTTCACAGAATGCACAACTCAACCTTATGCAACTGAGAATGGGAATCCATGTACTGTGTAAGACTTCAGTTACTTTGCTACCAATTTATGGAAGGATAACGAACGTTGCATGGGCAAGCAGAAAACAGGTATCAGCACAAGGTAGTTGGCAAGGGTTCTTTCTTGGATACTCACTGGACTGCAGAATACCTGGTATGTCATAATGTATAAATAGATCTGGGCATTCTCCAAAACTGCAGTGCTCTAACCCTGCAATATTTTGTTGCAGTAAGGCCTCCAAAGCACGTGTCACTGCTGCATCTATGGTAAAAGTCCTGTGTCAAACTGCAGACTGGAAAGTAGTTAGTCTGGAGAGAATACTCAGCATGAGGGCATGCACCCGACTTGCATGAACTCTCCAGTTATTTGGAATAAAAAGCAGCCTTCAAGCTGCTGATGACAACTCCATCAAGAAAGGTGCTGATGATCCTTTACCCAAAAGCATCTCCACGCACTCACAGCAGTACCTGCTGGTCTGCCCAGAACAAACACCAGGATTCCTGGCGTTCTGCGGGCAGTTCCTCAACCATTTCGGGCAGTTCCTCAACCATTTCGAAACAGGAGGAGGGAACTGCAGATCACCATACCTGGGAGATGCCTCAGGAAATGTTCTTACATACCAGATCCGTCACACCCAGGACTCAGTCATTATTTGGTTGGAGCATGCAGTACTCACCAAGTCAATGAGGTCACTGAGATTCTTCTCTATCTGCTGTGGAGGCAGACGCCTCATCAAATCCAAGGCACAATCCAGCTGCTGGTCACTCTGCAGAAACAAAAACATCCCTCTGTCACAGTATGCACAGATAAGCACAAAGTCAGGTGAACTGGAACTGTGGTGCTTGTCAACCCTCCTAACGGGGAGAAATAGAGCAATTCTAATCTGCAGAATGTTTTACATCAAAACATTTTGATAAAACACCGTTTGGAACCATTTGATCACTGATTATTCACATGGTATTGCAAGAAGGGTTCTAGAGCCCAGTTCAAAGGGCCCAGTTTAAGCTGGTGCCACGCCAGCAATTTAACACCAAGCAGTCCAGTCCTCGCCAAAAACTGTCTCCTACACTTAAGGAAACACTCAGTGCAATGTTTTTCCATGCTATCTCAACATTAATCTGGGTTAGGGAACTGAAAGTTCCTTCTCCTGAAACAATCCAAGCACTTCCTCATTCGTGTTGTGTCATTCAGCTCAAGACAATCAGTACCCAAGGCAAATTCTGTTCCAACAGATCTCACCCCCCTTCCTTCAGCTTTACCAAAAAAACAAAGTGAAACATGCACAAAGTATGATCCATTATTTCCTTCTTATTCCAAAAAACAAACCAAAAGCTGCCTGTATCTAAGGAATCAACAGCTTTAATTCTCCTGAGAAACCACAGCAATACGCTCCAGTGGGGTTTATTACAGTTGGCCTCTCAATAAATTCCACACAGAAAAAGATAAAAGCTTAAGAATCATTTCAGAGTTGGAAAATCTGCAACAGACATATCACAGGCACTCAGTGAGCAGAACCAAGCTCCCAGCACAACCTTTTGCTCTTCTTCTTCTCACCAAGGGCGAGTGTCACTTCCCTGCAAACCCAACAGCACATTCCTTTCATCAGCACATCGCCATCCTGAAGCACAGCAAGCTCATTTTCACTGCTTCTTCCCCTCCCCTTTTGTTTCTCTACTTCTAGACAGCCATACACAACAAGCTTAACTTTAATTTTCTCCTCCTACATTCAACCAAGCTCTAAGATGTACTTAAAGGCTTCAAAACTGAAGCAGCTGCATTGCCACGAGATTCAAGTAGCAGCCCCCGTGCCGAGGAGAAGTAGTAGGAAGTCAAGCTTTATGAAAATAGATCTAAAAAGGCATTGCCCATTCATTATCAAAAGGTAAATATCGCATGGACAGCAAGTCAGACAGACCGGTTTGGGGAGATTGTGTAGTTATTTCTTAGGTTACTGGGCATCACCTTTGGAAAAACACCCCAGCTCTACAGGCAGGTAGGCATCAACTCACCCTTCTGCACAGAGAGCACAAGTTACAGCAGTCACCTGCTGTGATCAAAGGAGAATGCATTCCCTAATCAGGGGTGCATTCAATCCCCACACTCTTTAAGCGCTTGGGTAATGTGACAAGCAAATCCTCAGAAGAATTGAGCCTGGAGAGAAGAACCAACAGGCAGAGAAACCCACAGCCCTGGTGCTGCTGTTCTTCATTAGTTGTCCATTGCAGGTCACAAGCTCAAGAATAGAAGCTCCTCCAAATACTGCTCATGAGCACAGTCGTTCCTTTCCTCTTATTTCCACACCGAGAACAGTCCTCCTCCCAGGAGGGGCCAAATGTTTCACATCAGCTGAAGATGAAACACCAATCCGGGCATGAGCTGGGGAATAACCCATGGGCATCATGAGAAACTAAGGGACAAAAATCCCAGCTCCCCAGTGACAGCAACATCTCGCGTCCTTCTCCAAATAGAGGAAAAGGAAAACTCACTTCTTGCAACCACCCCTCAGGCATTACTGAGGTGGGCTACGAGCGCCCCTCTGCAACAGCCAAGCCCAGGCAGGGGATCTATCACATCAAGTATTATCTTTACCTCCTGCTATCCCTTACGTCACAGGAGAGCTGGTATGTGATTGCAAGGTCATGCTCCGTGCTTGGGGATCGTGGGAACGCTCACGGAAGTGCTCTCTCCTGCTCTGCCAGCTGGAATTGTTTGACAGACAAAAAACTAAGGAAATAATCATGTTGAAAACCCACTATTAAAGTGCAACCTCAGAGAAGGTGTTTTATAGTATGGCAGTTTCAAAATAAACTGCACTGAGTGAAGGATTATCTTCTGCAGTTGCAGAATCCTTTTATGGATAACCAGAAGAACTTGTACTGACATTTTTATAACAGTATATTCATTAACAGCTGTGAAAATACACGAGCAAGACTGCTTAAGGCAGAGATTCTTAAAGGCATTCAGCCACAGCTGGCACAAGCGGCTGCATGCAACCAAGAAAAGCTCAAAAACATCCAGGCATACACAGAGAAGCATCTCTTTCCCTGAAGGAGAAGCGAGGCTGAACAGCAGGATTCCAGCCTTCCTGCAGAGTATTTAAATAATATTTAAATGGCTTGCCTGCACATCCCTTAAAGCACTGAAATAAAGGCAGGTTCTGATGCATCTCTACGCCTAAGTCTGTGGCTGTATGGTGACTTTAACCCAGCACAAATCCATGCTGGCCCAAACAAGAAGGCAATACAAAGCACACACAGCAGCACAGCCGTATGTCTGGGTGCTGCATGCACTCATTATGCCCTTTTTCAGAAGAGAATGAGTAATTCTACCAGGAGCAAACGCTCCTGGCTCTTTCTGTGCTGGGGAAACAAGGTTTCTAGGAACCAGGCCTGTGGTCACACACATCCTTTGCTTCCAATCTCTGCCCCAGCTGGGTATGTAAGGAATAACTGTAGATATGTAAGAGGCATCACATCTAAGGTGCTAAGCCCAGCAGCACACTTTTCCTGATGTTACAGAAGAACAAACACGTTTTTCTGTGATTCTGACAGTGGCATTTTAATAGGAAATCCCACAAAACTCTTATACAAACTGTGCAGGAGAAAGGTGCTCTTTGGGAACTCAGAATACACCTCACCTCATTACAACAACTGAGCCCATCCATCTCTCCACTCTAACTTCACTTCTTCTAGATCTCCACTTGCTTAAGGCTGTCATTAAATTGCATACTGAAGACAATTCCTTCACAGACCTCTAGACAAAACACTGCAGAATTCCTGCCTTTAGCCATGGAGAGGCTTATCCCCCTGCTTGGTGAGGTGATCAGACAGCCCTCTCTCAGCCTGGACTCGAAGCCAAGCACTTTGAGGCTGCAGGACTTAATGAGCTTAGTGTTTACTTGATACCAGCCTGCTTTCCCCCATCCCACTGTTATATCCAGCACAGAACTCCTGTGGAGGAGTAGGGAGCTCAGACAGAAATTCTAAATGAAGTTTTATTACAGCTCAAGTCACTGAAGGATTTCAAAGATCACAGGAATCTCAAAGACTGAAAATATTAGTCAAGATGAAAGCTCTTCTTAATAAGTTTCCTCTAAGATATCTGGCTATCTCCACTCTGCTATGCTGCTCCCATCTACCGCAGGGCAAAATGCTATGAATATATCTATAGGAATGGTTGTTCAGCTTCCTCTGCCTGCATTCTGCTCTTCTCTGCAGTCTCTAGCAAATAAGCCAAGCATAGCAAAGACAGAAACACTCTCAAAACAGCCACAAATCATCTCAGCAGAGCACTGAATCTGGAAAAAAACCAAGTTATCTAAGAGCATAGTTGCACAGAGGTACGGCTGCGTACGTGTTCATTTATTCTGTTCATACAGGAGTAAGCAGCTGTGTTAGAAGGCTGAGGATGGACAGATGTCCTTCAATGCAGAAGCCACAAAGAAGGAAGTCAGGAAGCTACTGCAGTGTGTTTGATTGTTTTGAGGAGGGTTTGTTGATCGTGTGGTAAACTACGTTTCCATGTTCCAGTGCCTGAAAGAGGGCATATTAAGGTCACTGTTATTTAAGAGCAGGGGACTCCTCTGACCTTACACGTGTAGGCAGCCAGCATGAAAGTGGATGTAAGCTGCACAGAGTAAGGAAGTCACTACCAACATTTACAGAAATTCATAGGCTGCTTTCCCAGGTTTTCCCATCTCTCCATTGCCATCTACCCACACTCCAAGCTCTACAAGGCTCATTTCAAAGGCTGACCACCACAAATCACAACACTGCAGACTGAATTCTTTGGTCCCCACAGCTGTGTCTGGACGGCTCCTGCTCATTTGCCTGCGTTGCTGCTGAGCACAAACAGAATTCAGCGTTTTCTTCAAAAAGAAAAACCAGACTGGTTTCACTTCTGCGTCGTGTTTCTATCTGAGCACTGCCTTGAGCTCGCTCCTGAACCAAGAGAGACCGGCTGGGGCAGCCAAGTGCTGCTGCACTGGGCACTTCTCCCTATTTCAGCCTGTTCTGGGAAATAAGCCACTTGGGGCAGCAAATCTTTCCAACCAGAACCCAGCAGAACACCCATCCACACCAGGTCTGGCTGCGCCGCTCTGACCCACGCCGTCTCCAGTCTCTGATGCAAGTTGAGAAGAACTAGATGACCTAAAAACGACTTCACAAGTTATGATTAAGGCGTAACACCACATTTGAAAACAGCCATTATTTGAGCAGTGCTGCCCATGTTTACCAGTTGAACACTCTGGCTTGGCTCTGAAATGGCACGGCTGCCAGGCCCCTGGTGATGACCTGGGGTCTGCAAGCTGCTCGTACTCAGATTTGTTCCAGCCTGGAATGTGAAAAGTTACCAAACTTCAAGCACAAGCTGGCATCTCAATTTCCAGAGAACTGAAATAAAAGATGAAAACCCAAAGGGACACCGAAAATAGAATATTTGCTTAACTTAGGCAATTTGAAGCAATCACACATCAGAGTGCTTTGATCGCTGGTCAGCTTACAAGCAAAATACCTCCGTAAATTAATCCAGGACCAGAAGTACACAACCATTAAATGACTTTTTCTCTTCCTTTTATGTTGCAGACATACCCCAGATTGTAAATCATATTATTTCCTGCCAGTTCTCCCAACAGGAATGTCTGACTAATGTTTCAGCTTTGTGGCACTAAACACTAAATTTCTTTAATTGAAACAGATACGTGGCTTCCCATCCTCCTCGTCATTTTCCTCCTTGCCAACTTCCCGAGCTCAAAAGGCAGAAGCC